TTCTTCGCCATGTCATTGACGTCAGTAGCCTGTCCCCCGGTATCATGTCATTGACGTCAGTAGCCTGTCCCCAACCAACTAGTTATTCTTGCCTACCGCATTTCCTAGTGCTATTGACCTCAAGTTCCTGGATTTACTCGCCGTCCTTTCCCCCCTACTTAGTACACATCAGACGTGAAACATCCTTTCCCTCAAGAGAATCCTACTAGCCACACCAGTTCTTCGTCATGTCATTGACGTCAATAGCCTGCACTCAACCTACGGGTTTTTCTTGACTACCGCACTTCCTAGTGCTATTGACCTCAGTTTCCTGTACCCACTGGCCGTCCCCCTCTCCCTTAGTCACACACCATATATGGCCTTATTCGCTCTCCACTGCTCCCATTGGTCCGTTCTCCCTAACCACCCCCCCTGCCTACTTCGTATATAAGTAGCACCTTCCACATCCTATCACCACAGCTACTGCTCTCCGCAGCTATTCAACTGCTCTGAAGATGGAGGCGCTATGTTCCTCCGAAACGTCGGCCAAAACGAAGAATACACGGTGCCTAAACCCAGAAGACAACTTTCTTCATTGTCATCGCCGTGAAAACCTCAAAACTTACAACTTAAGAAGTGTTCACATAGTGTAACAGTTCTGGTGCGTTTGCTCTGTTATTGCCTCTAGGCAGCATAAAATCCATTTTGTTTCATTATCTCAACTGTACAACTTATGGGAAGAGTGTAATGGACATGAAATATGAGTTTCATTTCTAAGCTACAACCTCTGTTCAAAATTGTAATTTTCATTCTGATAAATGTTTAGCAAGTTGGTGTGATTCTTGCATAGGATGTGTGCAGAAACATATTTTGGTGGTACCCTTTATCATTTTATGATTTTAATTAAGACTGACATGTTGACTTATTGTAGTAGATCTTCCCAATATCAGATTTCATGAAAATCCATTTAGGGGTTCTTGATTTATTACCTGTGGGTAGATGGATGAACAGACAGATGTGGCAAAGCCCGTAAGGGCATTTTTGCAAGTAATAAATGCTACAGTACCTGCATTGTATTTTAATTTTTTTTTGCTAGTGGCGTGGGACTAAGTCCCTTGTACTGCGGCCACTTCTGGCCTATTGTACCAGCCCCATATTATAGGTGAGGGTGATTGTGGAGCAGTTGGTGGAATGAAGATTGGCAAGGAAAACCGAAGTACTCGGAGAAAACCTGCCCCAGCACCACTTTGTCCACCACAAATCCCACTTGACCAGACCTGGGATCAAACCCGGGCTGCCGCTGTGGGAAGCCAACGACTAACCACTTGAGCTATGGCGCAGCCATTTTAAATCTTAGTACCATGTAGTAATATACATAATTAGAAGTGGTACTTGAAAATGTTGTATTTCAGCCATTTTCAGATATTGTTCAGCACTCGTTATAATGAACATTTTTTAAAAATGCTATAAATTCTCATTATATTAATATGTTTTCCTGTGTAAGCAGTGCAAGTGTACGTTGTTGAAGTAAGCATGCTTTTTAAAACTGCAAATCTTGAGGATCCTGGAATGTAATTAGAAGGATAACAGTTGATCCTAGATGCTGCACCATTTCTTGTCAAGCTCTCAAAGCTCAAAATATTAAAATGGCAAGAAGTTAGAAAATTTGTTTGTAGAAAACTGTTCAGCATACCTAAAAATGATGCTCTTTTTATTTTCCTTTAAATTTTGATGAGCATGGTCTGCCCCTGAAACTAAATTTCCTCTTTCTGTCTTTCTTGTCCAATATACAAAAATAAAATGATTGATCCATTAAAATTGCATCCAGTAGCATCATTATCATTTCATAAATATGAAGACCAGCAGGCACTTTAAACACAAAAAAGAACAGTAATTTAACTGTTCTTAATCTGACTTAAACAAAACGCACACAGTGTGATGGAAGTAAACTGGAAGAAGACCAAAGATTGTAGTTTAGCTCACAGAGAAAACACCATTCCTCTGTAAATAGTTGTATCTAAACTGACTCTCATCACTTTTGTTATCAACATGTGTCTCCATCATGTGTAGTCTCTCTCTTAATGCCTTCTTTTTTTATTATAATTATCACCTTGTGAAAGGGAAGACATCTTCATCATCAGATATGTGTGCATCAGAATCAGAGCCTGAAATCAGTTTTTGTCAGTTCTTGTGCTTTGTTTTTTTCTCAAAATATCTGTCTTGAAGCCATTTTTTAAGTTTTGCACGTGGAAGGAATAAAATAAATCATGTCTCATGTCTAGTGCCTAAGACTACTAATTGTGTTGTTCATAGCTTCAGAGAGTTCTATGTCCCTCCTATTCAGGTAGCATAAATAAATTATTGCTTCCTGTAAGTTGAACTGCAAATCTAGGAATGAAATTGAAACATTGATTGCAAGATAGACATGCAGTAATGCCATGAAATTATAATACTAATTATAATAAATTATGATACACACAGGACTCACATGTAATAAACTCATACAATTGAAAAGTCAGCTGTTGTCTTCTCAAGGTCTTGTCTATGGTGTTGGCTGGTGTGTCATTTGGTCTCTTTGGTTGGTTGGTTGGTAGGTTGGTCACTTAAAACTAATGGGATGAAAATATTTTCTGCATTCACTTCCAATTTCTCATTTAGAATATTCACTCTATCCTCACTAGTCTACACGTATTCACAGTATGATGCGGGAGCTATACAAGTGTCACTCTATCACACACTCCCAATTACTTCTCTTGTGAGCCAAGCATCTGCTTCTCAGGCTATCACTTCTAATCACACGTTCCGGTATTCTTCTTTCCACTGCGACTGGTTCAATTCAATTGTCTCTGGTGACAGCTACATTTTGACTCGCTTCGTAGGCTGCTACACTTTAACTCGCTTCGTAGGCTGCTACACCTTAACTGCCTTCGTAGGCAGTGTAGTTCTCTTATAAACCCTCAGCCAGACAACGGGAAAATGCCTTGCTTCCTTGTTGCCAAGTCGTGTGTTTACCGGCGTTGCTGGGCTTCACTGCTGGGAGTTGTTTATGGCTACGTAGCAACTGCGGTGTCCCGTGTTACGACACCGTGGGGAAAGGGTGTTGACTGGCCTATTACCATAGCAACGGCAATGCTCCGAAAGTGTTATGTCAACGCTGGCGGGGTAGGGGAAGGAGTGTTGACTTGCCTGTTGCCGTAGTAACGACAGCGCTCCGTTGCCAAGTCACCGCTGGGGAGGAAGGGGGTGTCCTCCAAAGCGCAACACGTCACAATATATTTCTTGTGTTCTTCTTAGAATGTGGAAATATGGGAATGTTCTCTTATTCCCTGAACCTTTCAAAAAGGCCTACGAGCCAGTGTAGTTGGAAGATCCATCTTTAGGGCCTGGATTCTGAGAACAGCTAACAAAGACAGCATTCATCAACAGAATTGTGCATGGTAGCTCCCAACTCACTGATAAGATGTTCATTTCCTGCAGCACATAGTTGCATCTGGACACAGCAAGTGAATTTTATGATGAATTAGTGAACTTACTACTGTGTACAGTTCTTTCTGAAGATTGTGGCACAGTTACTCAAACCATGCAACAAATATTTTCAATACCATACTGTAGTGACATGAAAATAGATTTAAAGGAACATAAAGTGAGCTGCATGTATGTTTGTTTTCAAGACTTTTTATGCAGGTAAATAAATTCAGTCATAACATCTTTAAGTTTGAAGCTTAAAGAATGTATTAAATGCAACTTACATTATGATTCACTACAGAATTCAGCACTTAAATGAACAGTAGCTCCAGCTGTGAGCAAGTAAGAATTTAGATGTCCCACATGTTAAGAGTCAAAAATGAATAAAAATAGAGATTTTTAGGAAGTTTTCAACATGCAACTGTGAATAAAGCAGCAGGAGGAAGACTGAGATCAAGGTGGGATAGGTTTGGGACGATGGAAGAGTGTGGCATGAAATTGAGGTGGAGGAGGGGCTCTGGGAACATGTAGATAAATGAAGAGGCCTAGTTGCTAGGTGACCCACATTGGAAGGCAGAGTAGATGAAGAGGCTTGATTGCTAGGTGACCCACATAAAAATGGAAAAATCAGAGGAAGAAGAAGAAATATTAAAAATTTATCAGAATTTGTAAATAGAACTGAATAATATAAATTGTGTAATTGAGATTTCATTTCAGGTAATAATCCATAAGTTCATCACTACACCCACAACTTCTCATCTTTTTCATCTTTCAGTGGACTCCTTTCACCAAAAAGTTTTCTTGCCTTTCAGTGTACGTGGTGCTATCCAAAAGTTCCCGAAATTAGAATGTTGCACGTGAATGGTTATGAATACATCAAAATACCGCTAGGTGTCTCCCCACACACCCTTCTTGAATCAGTGTGGCAAGCGGTGTCGAGTTGAGTGGTTGGGTTTATTTTTGGTGAACCTATTTCTGTTATTGTGTTTCTATGAGTTTGCGGTTTGGTGATGGCTGAGAGAGAGTGTGTCTGTATAAAGTTTTGTTTGAAACTTGGGAAAACTGCTGCAGAAATGCACCAAATGTTGAAGCAAGCTTTTGGTGACAACAGTTTAGGCCAGACACAAACTTACGACTGGGATAAGCGTTTAAAAAATGGCTGAACATTGACTGATGATGACGATCATTCGGGACTGCCATGATCTGGCACCACACCAGAAAATGTCGTGAAAGTTAGGGATCTGATTCTGCAAGATCATAGACTGACCATCCCGGACCTCTGTAACCCCTTGGGACTAAGTTATGGTACATGTTAACGAATTTTGTCAGATGAATTGTGCATGAGGAGGATTGCAGTGAAGTTTGTGCCACGACTGCTGAAAACTGAACAGAAGCAGCATCGCTTGGAAGTCTGCAGGGAACTTCAACAACAGCTGCAAGAGGATCCAAACTTTCTTTTGAGGGTTGTTACTGGTGATGAAAGTTGGTTTTATGGCTGTGACCCTGAAAGTAAGCAGCAATCGTTGCAATGGAAGAGCCCTTCTTCACCTCGGCCAAAAAAAGCTTGACAAGTCAAGAGCAACATTAAGTCCATTTTGATCTGTTTTTTTATATCGACGAGATTGTTCGTAAGGAGTTCATCCCTCCCAGTCATATAGTCAATAAAGAGTTCTGTCACCATGTTCTAAGGCGTTTGAGGGAGGACATGAGGAGAAAACGTCCAGAGAAGTGGCATACGAATGACTCGGTACTCCACCATAACAACGCACAACCGCATAACGGCTTACATTGTGCAGGAATTTTTGGCTAAAAACAAGATGGCAATTGTTCCCCACCCACCGTAGTCGCCAGACTTAGCTCCATGTGACTTCTTTCTCTTCCCCAAGATGAAAATCAAGTTGAAGGGGCGAAGATTTGATACAGTTAAGGAAATTCAAGAGGAAACGCAGACGGTACTAAACAGCCTAACAAAGAAAGACTTCCAGGATGCATTTGAAAAGTGGCAGAAATGCTGGGATCGGTGTATGCACTCCCAAGGGGACTACTTTGAAGGTGATGGTGCAGAATAAGGTAAGGAGTAATAGTTTTTATTAATATATTGTGACATGTTGACCCCTACCTCCCCAGCGGCACGTAGCGGTAACGTAGCGCTCGCGTAATAGGCGAGTCATCACCCCGCCACTCTCCCCGCGGTGACGTCACGAGCGGAGCCGAAGTGAGCTGAGCAGAGCCGAAGTTAGCCGAGTCCCCGCAACCTTGAAGCTATGCAAAGCAAGTCAACAGCGGTGACGTCACCAAGGGGTAACAGCGTTGCTAGGCTATACGCCACGTAACACTAGCAACAGCGAACGGAATAAAAGCTGGCTGAGCAGCAAGCAAGAGTCAGTGTGTTATCAACAGTTCTCAAGGTAGCAGCCTGCGAGTTTGCGATAACTAAGAAGTCAGCGAGCGGAAGACTTATTGTGTGCTTTCGAGACTTAGTGAGTGCTGTAGTACAGTTATATTTGAAAGTGTGTAATTCAGGGAGACTTGTATAGCTCCCGTGTTATTAATACGTGAAGACTCTTGAAGATAGTGTTAAGAGATTTTGTTGTAGGGTTTGTAAAGTATGGAAACCCGCAACTGTGATAATTAATTGTAGCCGATATTTGTAGATTGTTCAGTAAACCAATTAACGATCTCTACGGCGTATTCAGTAACGTAAACACGTTACAATATTTTGGGAACTTTTGGATCGCACCATGTACACACCCAATGCATCATGACTATTATAGGACAGGTGTATAATTTGTGAAGTCCCATGTTCAGGCAGAAGTGTTTGCACATTCCTGATGTAAAAGTTTTGATGGTGTCCTGTTACAGTATTGCAAGTAGTTCCTTGCATTTTATTGTATTTTCCAAAATTACTTTATGCATTCAGTTTAATATCTATGACATTTCTGATTTCCAGTCTGCATATTTAAAGCATGCTGCTTTATTGCAAGGTAGCTCTTACATAAGTGAATATATAATTTTGTAAATATTTGCATTTTTTTAGGTAAATATGCTATGAGAGATCTGGTGCAAAAGTTGCCATCAGGAAATCCACAGCATGACCAAGGCACATCAGATGACACAATAGCAGCAGTTCTTGCAACTCTGAATGAAGTAATTAAAAAGAATGCAGAATTTTCAAGGTTTGTACCTTCTGGTAAATATTAAGGATGAAAATTTAATAGACCTGGTGAGGCAACATGACACAGTTATGTAAGGCTGGTAGGAGAGCAGGTGCAAGCTAATTCCATTGTGCCTATAATGTGCACATCCATGTAAATGAATGAACACATCCTGTTTGGGCCCTTGTGCTTAATATCTTACCTCATCTTATATCATGGTTTTATATTTCATTTTCCACTAAACTGTAACAACCCAATATTATATATAAGAATCCTGTTGCATTTATACATCTTTCATGCACAATATATTCAGTCCTCAATGCATCTATTTTCACTTTTTATTTCTCCACCTCATGACATGTTTCGGCCTCACACAGCCTTCATCAGGTATTTTGTCTACTGTATAAAATGTTTACTTATTAATATTCTTGCAAATATGATGTTTCTTGTTTAATCTACTTGATGTACATTTGATATTTATTTGCACTGATTAATTTCACTCACTTTCAAGTTTAATTGTGGTTTGAAATTTCTTAAATTTTCCTAAAATTATGTAATTCTTGCACCACTATTAGGGCCGTTGTCCACTTGTCCAAATGATATAGTTCTATGGTGCAGGTTGGTGTTCATGTATTGCTTTACTTTGTAAGCTCTTTCTTTGTATTATCAGTTGTTCCTCTTTGTGTGTTATTTCCTGCCCCTGCATATGATGTTAACTCTTGTGTGTTTGGAGGAGAAATAAAAGTGAAAATAGTTGCATTGAGGACTGAATATATTGGGGATGAAAGATGTAACAACCCACTTCATTCATGAGTTCTCACATTACACTGAATTAATTCAGTGTTGAAGTCCTAGGCTTCAAAATGGTAAGGGAAAATTGTGTTGTTGAGGGTAGGCATCCTTGTTGCTCCTCATTTCAGGTGCTCTAATTCTCTTTGCAGAAATATTTGTTTTAATTATTTGTATGTTTTAGTTTTTCTTATAGTGATATGGAATGGCAGTCAAGTTTAGGATTATGAATTGTAAATAAGAGCTTTAACTTATTCCATTCTGCCACATTGAAACCCCTTTGGGGTCTCAAGGTTTGGAATGCTGATGAAATGGGTCTTTATTCAAGAATATTTAGAACCATTACATTCAACTAATATATATTTTGCTACTTTCAAAGTTACATTTGAGACTTATTCATATGGTATTTGGCAACAGTGAATATTAGTATGCATTCTGAATGCTGTATGCAAATTTGGTCTTATGTGGACTCTGGTTCTTCCAACTGCTGATCCAATCTATCTTAATGTTTCTGCTGTGCAGATCTTTGCTGGAAGCTGGAGGTGTTGAACGTCTAATGAACATTACTCGGCAGCGGCAGAAATACACGCCACGGGTTCTCAAATTTGCTGGTCAAGTTTTGTTCACTATGTGGCAGCATCAGGAATTAAGAGAAGTTTACAAAAAACATGGTTGGAAGGAACAAGACTTTGTCACTAAAACAGTTGCAGCACGAAATGCTGGCCCAAATTCTCCAAATAATGCCAACAGCACATTAAATCGTCCAATGGCTAGCCAAGGAGGTACGCGGTATGAAGATAGAACAATGCAACGGTCTACCAATATGAACAGTGCTTCTCGGAGTCCTGGACCTTCCATTTACCAGCGGGTAAGTTTAATATGTGTGTGATTTTGTAAGATGTTCAGCATTCTAAATAATGAATTGTCCATAAGTCAGGGTATGGCATAAATCAGGCCTGCATCTAAATTTGTTATTGTATTTACCTAGATATTAGTCACACACACATAATTTTTGTAAACTTTATGAATTGAACCTTTAATTGCTATGTAGGATTTGAGGTTCTCATGGCGGAGGTTGTGAGGAGTTCTTCCTTCTGGGATATTTCATGGTGTCGCATCCTAGAAGATTGAAGTCTTTGTATTTTATATAGTCCTCATTAGGCATATGCAAGAATTACTTTTTCAGTTCGTAATGAGATCGAGATGAAAATTTGGAAAATTTATGGGATTCAAGACAAGAATTTTCTCTAGTAGAGAAATTTCTTTACTTTAATAATTTATAACACTGACCATTCTTTCACTGTGCATGAAAGTATACTACCATATCTACCCAAATGGAAGTTGATTTGGAATATAAGATGACCCCACACCATGTTACATGTTTTCACAGAAGGAATAATGTCCTGAATTAGTTTTGTAGTCTTACTACAAAGATATGAAAGAATTAATATTAGATTAAGTCAGTTTCTTTCTTGAGAAGTCTCTAGCCTTTATTCACCTTCACCAGTCTCACTCTCTACACCATCTCTGCCATTTCCCTCAGCTGCAGTGAGCAGTGAATGTGAGAGAGATGATAGAAAGTATGTAGACATTAAACATAAGGCAGGTGATGGGAAGGGTGGACAGTGTGCGGTTGCCAAAGATGAACAAAGTCTTGTGACTTCCCAAGGTGGAAATTAACTCAATAAATTTCATGTTTAACATGATTTCTAATATTCTCTCACCCACAATGTTTGTAGTAAGAGTTTGAAACTAGTTAAGAACATTACTGCTTCTGTGTAGACGTGTTTCATAGTGTGGGTCATCTCACATTCAGAATCAACTTCCTTTTGGTAAATATGGTAGTGCACTTTCATGCACTGTGAAAGAGTGGCTAGTTTTATAAATTATTATAGCAAAGAGAAGATTCTTATTCTCACCTTGGTTCTTGAAATTGTTCCAAAGTCTCATCTCAAAACAGTTATTCTTGCACGTACCTGTGTAATGTTAAATATTTTCTTTAGAGAAGTGTTTATTTCATTAACTTTTTACTTTTGAAGCTACCTTGATATACAACAGGACTCTATTAACTATATGTTCTGTTAAATAGTATGTTTCCTTACAGGGTGAAGATATTCCTATGGCAGACATGTCATATCCAGAAGGAGGCACACATGCCCCACCTCCAGGAGGAGTTCGAGCTTATCCTCCAGCTCCAGTAAGTGATGCTGCTCGATAAAATTACACTCACATGTACAACCACACTTACATACGTTCACTTTCTTACAAATGTATACAGACACATCAGTATTGTGCATGTTTTAGCCTTCTGCACTACTCTGATGGTCCAGTTGCACATGATTTTCTGCATGACAACCATGGTTTTAATGGCTGATGTAGTAGTTATGTAGGTGACTTATTTGGGCCAATATTATATGTATTTCAATGGCTTTTTTAATTGACTTTCTTAATAATTAATTATATATGTTTCAAATGTGAATTCATGTCTAGGTATATAATATTTTTGTCTCAAGAGAACGTTACATTAGAATTATAGAACAGGCAGCTCTTAAAGTTTCCTTTTTCTATTGTGCATATTGAGATGTGTAGCAGGTAACCTGTTTATGACGTAGATATACATCCTCGCTGTCCAATATCTTGTGGCATATCCTGTATTAATTTTGCTTAAACTAGGAAGTAGCAAAAGTAAACTGTTTTATTCGGCATCACCTTTCTGTTTCTGAATTACATTTTGTAATACTTGAACTTCAATATTACTAATAAATAAAAAAAAAATTTGAGGATTATTTGTGTTTTCTTTCTAACATTATGTAATTTGTTGCCAGTTATATGGATTCCATATCAGCCATTATTCATTGCTCTTAAAATGAAAGACTGATACAGTCAGTTCCAATGAAGATTTGTGTAGTAAGATGCGTAGGCTTTATCAGCCTATAACCATTTCATTTATGTCTGCATGCTTTAATATCTCTAAGCACATTACATGTACAGAAAAAGGAGTATGGATTCTTATTTTCAATATGTTTACATTTTGTTTTATACCAAGTAAATACTCCAAGAGTTTGAACATATCTGGAAGCGTGCTCTGTCTGTCCCATCTTTTCCTCTGCTTATGTTCTTGTTTTCAACTTCACATACCATTAGCTAACCTCCCCCCCACCCCCCACCTCACAGTGAGCTTACAGGCCATCTCAGCTGTGATGTACATTTTATTCAATGTACTATCTTATTATTATGATATGGGATTTGAAGCTGTTGTGGTGAATGTATGCAGTGAAGTCTTCTTTGGTAATCAGCCATGAAAGCTGGAGTTGGTAAGCAACATTTTGGGGACAGTCTCTGTTGCCATCATGAGGAGCTCATGTAATAAAGAACATGGTTACAAATTCCATTAATATCCATATAATATGCTGTCACTTGCCCCAGCAGAGATAACTGAGGGAACAGTGGGCAAGTTTGGCAGTTGGTGATATCCTGTCCCAACATGGATTGCTGGGGGCACAGTGGGCAGAGGTGTCACAATCCATTTTCCTTAGCCTGGCCACCCTGTGATGCTAGTTGCTGTTGGTCTGTTTTTACAAGTTTTTTCATGGTCTTCACTTGTTTAAGCCTGTTGTTCTATAGAACATCAAAGATTAAATCTTAAGCTGTTTATGGTATCTGGCCACTGGCATGCTTCAAAACAAGGGAGGATCATCAGAAACCATCATAATGAAAGCCTGGTGACAGTATACCATAGTGTCCAGGTTAAGCAGCATGAATTGTTATGATTGACTGCCTGACTTTACCCACTACTTTTCTGGCAGCTTACTCTGGGACGGGACATTACTGACTGCCTATGACTATATCCTCTGTTCCCCTGGCAGCTGACACTGGGGCAGGGTATCGCTGACTGCCTATGACTGACTATACCCTCTGCTTCCCTGGCAGCTGACACTCTGACAGGGCATCACTGACTGTAATTCCAGCTAATGTTTCCTCAATGGTCAGCACCGGGAAAGCTGAGAGCATACTCTGGGGGTATAAATTGAACATGCAGCTGCATCACTAATCACATCAACCTCCTGTTGTTAGAGACAGAGACAGTCTCTGAAATAATGGATACTATATCCATCTTCACATAACTTTGCACTTGAGAAGACTTAATTTTATGTTAACTGATGTTTTTGCTATTATCAGTCAAGTAAAATTTATTTATGATATGTTACATTCCAAGTGGTTAAGCTGTAGGCTATTTTAGCAGGGAAAGTTTGCATATTCATAAGTACTGGGTACTATGGAGGGTTTGGGTTGCCATATAATTCACTACGTAGGGTTATTTATTGTCACATGAGGGAGTGACTATAGATGGGGTATTTGGATCCATGATTCAATTTATTGACCACTTGCGGATCATACCTACAAGTAACTATAACATCCTCTATGGTCTACACACTCCAGAGATCATTGTAACAGCAGTACACATAAAGTCTTCTATGTCTTCACTAGTCATTTCCTGGTAAGAGATCCTAACAACGTTTTCTGCTTACATCCTTACCGGCTGGTGAATATCCCACAGTTGACTCATTGCTCCAACTGACTAACTCCCAGGCTGATGGCCATTTCACACCAGCCATCTACTCTTCTCCACCTCAAGACTTTGCACTCCCCTGCATGGCACTGCACTGTCACTGGTTATAACATCTTGGCACAGACTGCACAAAAACATCGTTCCTCTGTTGCTGTGCAGTTGTTGCTTATTAGGAATCTGTTGCCTAGCAGTGGGCACTGTTCATAGAGTCATTACACAGCAGTGGGTCTACATGCCACAGTATTTTGAAAAATAAGAAGGTACCTTTATGGGGGCTCATTATGTTTTTAATTTGTTGGTTTCCATATCTTTATAAGGTGAGCCTCATATCACGGTGGATGGATAACAATATTCCAAAGTAAGTCTTGAACATTATAATGTGACATGAAAGTGTGAAAGTGCTGGTACCTTTATGAATCTTCCATCATTCCCCTTTAACCTTTATCATACTGAAGTTGGGAATTATGGTCTTGGGGGCTGCTGGTTGGATTTTAATTCAGGGGAGGGTGTTAACTGGTAATGGTATTTGTATTTAAAAAAATGCAGTAAACTTCCTGTTATCTGGCTTGTATGGGGAATGTTATCTGCTGGTTAAATGCATCTAGTAGTTGGCCTTAATTCTTGTTTGAAGATGCCTCTAGGTGACATAGCAGATTCATGGGTGAGAGATTTTGGATACATGTACTGTAATGTAATTATAAATTCAGCCAGCCTCTACTGTAATGGTACATGCAGTAGGTAGGACCATATGTAGCTCAGTGATAGTGGTTGCAGGTAGGTAGATTTATGTACGTCAGAATGTGTTTTTGAACAACTTTGTTATGTGGTAAATTTTCATTGAAATTGTCAACAGTTGATAAGGACTCTGGATGCATGGATACCAGGTAACTGGGAAGAGTTATGTCTTCTGGGATAACCACCACCTAAGAACCTAACACCAATAACTGAGAGCTTACTGTTTAGATATTTTGAAATATTCATGCTAAAGAAGTCCAGTAAACTGCATTTGAAAAAAANTCAGTAACCAGAGTAATTGTATTTATTTTGTCATGTTATTTTAAAATTGTATATAGAGTACTGAAGAGTGGACCAGTAATATTACATTGAGCCCATGGCATCATATCCTGTTTGAATTATTATAGACAAGAAAGTGTATGTCTCCTGTACCATCTCATCTGGAAGTCACGAGCATCCATCGTTAGTATCAGGTGTGTCATAAAATTGTTTGCAGCTATTAGTCTACCATCAGCAAGTGGATGGTTTCCTTGAATAAGACCTAGACTGCAATTGGCATAGAATCCTTGTTCACATGGGGTCTCTCGTGTGTCCACTTCACCGAGTTCTCCAATGAAGGGATTTATACTGCCAAAACTCCAAGGATCTTGTGTTGTTGACCAAATTTTATATCTGCTTCTGCTGGCATTACTGGTATCACCTGCTGTTACAGTGTCTTCTTCAAGCTCACTTTTTTCTAGATGAGATTGATTCATTATAGTCACTCACCAAAACGACTTCTTGTTCAATGGCTTTTTTAGACCTCAACATTTGTGCCATAAGGAGAAGGTGAATTCTGTTGAGAGTAATACATTAGATCTCTTTTACTCATTAGCCTTATATAACTGTGCAGGCAGTGTCTGTATTTGAAACTTTGATGATGACCTACCTGACACCCCATCTGGCTCTCAACCTCCATGTTTGTTATTATGGTATTTCTTTAGACTTCTTTCTGCCTTAGATGCTGCTATCCCATAGCTGATTAAACCATGCACAAATATGAATGGCTTGATCATGTATCTGGTACTTACACATTGTAGACAGAGTCATTGTTTATAAGTAACTCAGAACAGGAAAGCATAAGAGCCCAAGATATAGGTTTAGTACTACAGTTCCTGTAGGCTGGATCAAAATAAAGCACTACTGTAGTACTGTAATATTGCAGTGCTCAGCCCTGAGGACTGTGCATCTGCTGTTTCTAACGTGCAACATAGCTAATAAATGTTAACTTTAATTCCACTTTCTGGATCATAGGTACTGTTGTGACCATGCAGACCATTTCCTTCCCAGTCAAATTGGGTGCACTGTCAGTATATGCTTCATCTTTCATATGTTCTTTATTCATTTTGCATAATGAGTTGATAAACATATCTCTTGACCCCAGTCTGTTACAGTTACTTCCCATTTTGTTGTGTGTACTTAATAAACTGTAAATCTATACTTGCCTGCGCTACATAAGAAGTGCATGGAAGCAGTTTAGGCATTTTATCATACTAATATCCTATGTTGACAATGACGAGTGTATTATTAATAACCAGGGCCCGGATTTTGATGACCTGAAAATATTTATAAAATGACCAAAAAAATCCAGAAAAATGACCTAAAATGTGACCCAAACATGTAATATGCAGGGCCCGGATTTTGATGACCTGAAAATCTTAAAAAATGACCTATAAAATGACCAAAAAATCCAGAAAAATGACCTAAAGGAGAAGCGAAGGAACACTTCGCCTCCATGTTATTCACATTTCAGAAAACATATGAAGAAAAATTCCCTAAAATGGCCAAAAATGACAAGAAACACCCTCAAAAGCCCCAAAATTTACCAAAAACTTACCCCAAAAATGAAAAAA